CAGAAGGAAGATGGGGCAATCTACTTCCATAGTGATACTGCCTCGGAAACCCAAGGAGGGGTCGCTATGAGTCGGGTCCGACTTGATGGCACATAACAACAAGAACAACGTATATTTTTAATAAATCACTGTATTAAACAGTAATAACTTGAAAGCACTAAAAGATGACTCAAGGGTTACTGAGAGATGCTTTGCTTTGAAAAAAACAAAGAAGGTGGCCAGATAATATGAGACAATGTATTTTCATAATGTATTTTGGGGTAACTTTAATTTTACTTTGTGCTTAGGGTACTTGGCAAAATTGTGTGGCCATTTACTGTTCAAAGATGAAATTGAAAGTATGCTTGATGGTAAGTATCAAGGTAACAATGAAGCATTTACACATAGGTCTAAATAAATACATCATTTGTAATTCTACTCACATATATATTTTATAAATGTTGCCAGGGATGGGAGAAGGGTGGTAGTGTGGGTGGGTGGGTTAGGGTGGAGAATCAGTAAAATCTATTTCTCTTACTCAGTCTTGTTGTTTCAATCTTTCCTTTTATTCCATTCATTATTTCAGACTTACTTATCATCCCGGATCCCTCAGGAACTGTAGAGAGTTGAGAGTTCATTTACTTATTCATCCAACCAATATTTTTCCAGTGTCAACTGTGTGACAGTGCTATTCTAGTCTTTGAAGATACAGCAGCAAGCGAAACAAAGTTCCTTCCCTCAGGGAATTTACAATTTGGTGGCTCCAAAACATAAACTCAGTGCCTTGTAGTCAATTCTGACTCATAATTATATTATAGCACAGGGTAGAACTATCTCATAGGGTTTCCCAGGTGGTAATCTTTTCAGAAGCAGACTACTACATCTTTCTCCCATGGAGTGGCTAGTGGGTTTGAACCACTCACTTTTCAGTTAGCAGCTGAGGGCTTAATTGTTCATGTTACCCTTCTTTAATTCTGTCCTCTACGTTGCTATCCATTAAATAAGGAGTGCTGGTGCTCAGTGGTTAAGCACTTGGCTACTTCCATAAAGGCTACTTCCATAAAGATTACAGCCTTGGAAACCCTATGGGAGAGTTAGTTGTACTATACTCTGTTTTAACAGCATTGTTAAGATTTGGAATCAACTCAATGGCAAAGGGTTTTAATCTTTAAGGAAGCAGATTGCAACATCTTTCTCCCCCAGAGCAGCTGGTAGATACAAACAGCTGACCTTTTGGTTAGTACTTGAGCACTTAACCATTGCCCCACTAGGTTCCTTATTTAGTGGATAGTAATGTACACTCTGGTGGTGCAGTGTGTAAGGTATATAGCTGCTAACCAGAAGGTCAGCAGTTCAAACCCATCAGCTGCTTCATGGGAGGAAGATGAGGCAATCTATTTCCATTAAGATTTACAGCCTTAGAAACCCAAGGGGTGTCTCCATAAGTTGGAATTGACTTGATGGCAGTAGGTTTTTTTTTAGAATGTACATTCACAGAAGAAAGAATTAAAGAAGGATAACATTTCTTCTGTCAAAATATTAGGGCCTCAAGCATTTTTCTTTTGGCTTGTATTAACTGGTGGCATAACAGTTAAGTGCTCAGCTGCTAACCAAAAAGTTGGCAGTTAAAGCCACACAGTGATTTTTCAGGAAAGACCAGGTGATCTGCTTCCATAAATATTGCAACCAAGAAAATTCTATGGGAAATTTCTACTCTGTCAACATGGGGTTGCTATGTGGAATCAACTCAACAACACCCCAAAACAACAACAGCACTTGAGTCCCTGGATGGTGCAATTATTAATGCAGCTGCTAACCAAAAAGTTGGCTCAAGTCCACCCAGAAGCACTTTGGAAAAAAAGACCTGGTGATCTACTTTTGAAAAATCAGCTATTGAAATCTCAATGGAGCACAGTTCTATTCTAACACACATGGATTTATCATGAGTCAGAGTCCATTTAAAAAAAAACAAAACAAAACTCATTGCCATTGAGTAGATTCTGACTCATAGTGATCCCCGCTGGGTTTCTGAGGCAGTAAATCTTTATGGAAGTAGAGTGCCTGGTCTTCCTTCTGCGGAGTGGCTGGTGGGTTTGAACCATCAACCTTGTGGTTAGCAATCAAATGCTTTAGGTACTACACCACCAGCACTCCTTAGAGTCTACTCAGTAACTGAAAAGAAAAATAAATGTCCTCCAGGATCAGTATTACAAATAGATGGGGTAGAAATGATGGCTACCTTCCTTCCTTATTCATTTATTCATTCATTTATTCAACAAACACACATTTATTGACTGCCAGTTAGTTGCCAGACACTATAATTTCCCCTCCCCCTCTCTAGAATTTTTTTCTTCTTTCTCTCCTCCTACTCTTTCTCCTTCTGTTCCTTCTCTCTTTTCTAAATCTTCTTTCATTTTTCCCTTTGTTTCATTTTTCTATGGAAGAAAGTAATAATTCAAAGTAATCCCACTATTTGGAAGTAATGATACTGGCATCCTGGAACGTACATACATAATATCCCCAGTATGTTCAAAGAATATAAGCATACTACACATTTATTTTTAACATAACTTTTTATAACTTTTTTCACTTATCATACACTATAAATACTTTTCAATGCCAAAAAATATACCTTTGCAATATAACGATTGCATAGTATTTCATTTTATGAATATTACTAATTTAAACAATCCCCTATTGATTAACTGATTGATTCCAATTTAGACTGATCCCACTTTTTTCATTATTCTGAGCAATATTGAACCTCTTTGTTGTTGTTGTTGTTATGTGCCGTCGAGTCGGACCCGACTCATAGCGACCCCTCCTTGGGTTTCCGAGGCAGTATCACTACGGAAGTAGATTGCCCCATCTTCCTTCCGAGGAGTGGCTAGTAGGTTTGAACCACCAGCCTTCTGGTTAGCAGTCAAGTGCCTTAGGCACTATGCTACCAGAGCTCCCATTGAATCTCTTTATGAATGTTTATTTTTGCTATCTAGTAGAATATTCAGCATATAATAAGCATTCAGTAAATGTTTATTGAATATTGCCATTTTGGGAGTTTGGTGGGGATAAAGGATAAAACTTTCTGGATGTTTTTGGTCAAAGTGATGAATTTTGAGGGGGAGGGGGACTCTCTGAATGGTATCAGGGTGCTTCAAGGTTAGAGTTTCTATGGCTTTAAGAGAACTGCTGATGCCTTGAACTAAAACCCTCCTGCTGTTTCAGCTATTGAACAACTGCTGAGGGATGAAGACCCTGTGATCAAGAATTTGGCCAAAAAAACCCAGAAGGTTATTAAGGAAACAGAGCATAGACTGACCTCCTCAAGTATTAAACAAACATTCCAAAGATTGTTTAACTTCTTCTACTTCAAAAAAATGAAGATAATTTATCATTATTCTGAGACCCGCACATGAGATCCAGATCTGAAGGACCTAAAGATGCCAAGAATGATAAGGAAGCCCTCACTGAGGAGAACTATGAAGACTCTTTGTGAAGAATGAGTCTGGCAATGCATCTGGCAATGCCTTAGTGATCAGAAGCTCTACTTCATATCCAAATTCACTAATAAAAATCGGGGGAAAAAATATATAAGCAAAGTGTTTGATGAGAGGAACTTGGGATTTAACAGATTCAATCAACATGCATCTCCTGAGCACCTTCTAAGTGCCAGACACTGTGGGAGGTATTGGGGACACAGAGATAGTATAGACAGAGTTCTCATCCTCAGGAGGTCACAGTCCAGTGACACACAGTGTGCTCATTTCTATCCTGCTGGGAATAACACTGCCTAGAATAGAGTTCCCAAAGGAGGAGACAGAATTTGTAGTGTGAAGACAGGGGAGGAGAAAAATGTACCTCAGGTAAAGGCACAAAGGTGAAAATGAGTGTTGGGGAAAGCTGAGGAGTTTGTTTTGGTACAACTATGGGTAAGGAAAGAATGGGAAGAACTAAGGCCTGAGGAGAAGACTGTGTGTGGTAATGGGTTTAAACTTTTAAAGTAAAAATTGGATAGTCAGTCATAGTTAGTGCCTCCCCATTTGACTTCCAGATTAAGTCAAACACTTTATACCAGAGTATAAAAGGTCTTCTATGATCTTGCTTGATTTAAGGCACCAGGTTCATCTTCACACCTCTCACCTTACCCTCCTCCTCTATCCCCACCCCGGCAAAAGATGCTTCAGCTGCACAAAAGTACTCATAGTTAGATGAAAGTTCCTTTTTCTCTGTTGATTCTGGCATGGTGACTTTACAGTGTTTCAACTTATAGTTTAAGTAGGTTTTCTCTGTGGGCTCACCTTGGTGCGGAGCAGCAGCTGTTCCAGCTTCTCCTGGATTCTCCTTTACTTCTTAAATTCTGGGCCAGATGTATGTTTAATTCTGTTGACAAATGGTAACAGTGTCTCAGTCAGGATTCCAACATCATCTGATGATCTGATACACACATCGTCAATGATGAAAACAAGAAGAGATTGACATGGGCTCCAGCTTCAGTTTATGGGTTTATGCATTGTTGTTCTCCCCACTTTATATCCATCTTCTCTTCCCAACTACCTGCCCCACAAATTTTAAGCTCCTGCATCAGACAGGAAAACCACAGCCTTATAGAGACTACTTAACCAGCTCCCACACTTGCATGATGTCAAAGCCCTGGCCCTGCATCTCTATTTCATCCTGACTAATAGATCTAGGATGCACATTTTCTGGCCCCCTTTGGTCAAGTTAGGTAGGTGTTTCTCCTATGTTTTGCCTTGACACCCTCTGCTTATTGCATTTATTGCATTTATCAGACTGTAGTAAAATCAGGTTTTTGCTTCTTCTTCTTCTACCCCACAAGACTGAATGGGAAGCAAAGGCCATGTCCTATATTTGGTTGTGTGCTCTGGAATGCATAGTGCCTAACACATAATGCATGCTCAATGAATATATGCTGAATGAACACAGTGTTAATAGGACACACTTATGAGTACTACTTAATAATAAAAATGATGAAAGAATTATTTTAATTTACTACCCCTTCACTCTCATTTCATATTACCCAGATCCCCAGACCTCACCTTTCAAATCAGGGCTGATTTATTTCCTTTTCTACCTGCTAAATTAGCAGGATGTCAAGTGTGGTAGGCTGAATAATGGCTCCCCTAAATGTTCCAGTCCTAATCCAAGAACCTATAAATATGTCACCTTATATGCCAAGAGGTACTTTACATAACTGATTAAATTAGGAATCTTAAAATAGGGAGATTATCCTGGATTATCCAGTTTGGCCTGGTGTAATTACAAGAGGCCTTATAAGAAGGATGGCGGGGGTCAGAGAGGAAAGAGAGCTTTAAAGATGTTCCACTGTTAGCCTTGAGATGAAACAAGGAGCATGAGTCAAAGAATACAAGCAAGGTAACTCTAGAAGCAGTGAACGCAAGGACATGGATTGGACTCTACCCTAGAACCTCCAGAGAGAAGGTGGTCCACCTGACACCTTCACTTTGGCCCAATGAAACGTATTTTGGATGTCTGAACTTCAGAACTCTAAAATATAAATTTGTGTTGTTTTAAGTCTCAAAGTTTGTAATAATTTGTTAAAGCAGCAGTAGCAAACTAATAAACCTAGATTTCTGCAAAACAAAGCAAACTAAACTGAATCATATTTTCAAAATAAAAGAAACACAGACATAGCAAAGGGTATAGTGGATCTTACATGAAGTTTGAGGTCTCTGTAAAGAGGTCATTATAAAGGTCTCTGATATTTATACGATATTTCTGTAAGACATATTCTTCAAAGTTCTTTAGGCAAGGACTTCTTTCACTCTCACTATACACAGTAAACTCCAACATCATCTTCCGGTTTCTTTCTCTTTCCCATCTCTTCTTCTTCTCCCTTAATTTTTGCCTGATTTCATTAGAATCTCTGAATTCTTCTCACTTTATTTTGTAGAACACTCTACTCTCCACAGATTTCAACTCAAGCCTGGATACCCAGATCTTCCATATGTTCTGAAGACATAAAATCATCTCTTCAATGGATTCTATCTTCCTTACAGACAGCTGTGGTTATTAATAGCCCATTTCTTTCTACATGATGCATAATTATGTGACTTTCATTTTTAAAAAAATTTTAATATGTCTTTTATTATTATTAGGGGTAAGATGAAAATAGCTAAGATGGCCTTCAAGGCCATGTAGAATCTGGTCCTGCATCACTTGCCAAATTTACATAACAAATAATCTCTCCTTCCAGAGGCACTGGTCTTCCCAAATTCTCCATGCTACTCCATGCCTTAGGGCCATCACTTATGTCCTTTCCATGTCTGAAACACTATCCCTTCTTCCTCATCCAGTCAGTTCCTATCAATTTTTCAAAACTAAATTCAAAAGTTATTTCTACAAGGAAGCTTCTCTGACCCTCTGTAGTTCTTTATAGCATTTACTACAACAGCTAGGAAAATTAATTATAGAATAAATTAATGGAAAAGTAATTTGGTTTGCAATTATTGTCCTATACTGTAATCCCACTGCTAAAATGTAATCTCCATGAGATCATAATTTGTGTCTCTTTAGTTCACCCCTGTGAACCAAGATTTCTTAAAATCTCATGTGTTTCTCATGAGATTTCCTGAAATCTTGCAAGTTTCAAATTGTCCTTTTGATTGAATGGTCCCCAAAATTCCTATGAGTAGAAGTTGATGCTTGCTGTGGCTGGGAGCATCACATCTTATTTAGTGGAAAATGTTACACTCCTTTTTTAATGTACTTGTTCTCATGTCTGTTACTTGCAGCCTAATGCAATTCCTGACTGATTCAGTGTGGTTTTCTGTACTCATAACCAAACTCATCCATTACTATTACAATACCATATTTCATTGACTTGATCCCGAGACATGCTATTATTTTATCTACCACAAAAAAAGAGAAAACATTCTTCCAACTACAATAGTAAGATAGAGTTGATTATAAGACATGTTCCCCTTGCAGAGATGTTAAAATATGACTGAATTAAGTACATTATGCAAAGTGAGAGCATGATTCATTTGTTTAAAAATAAAATATGCATATATATTAGCATATAAATAGAAAATTTTGGAAAGATATACAAAAGTAGAAATCAGGGATATGAAGTAGGAAACCAGATTTTGACTTTTGCTTTTCTCCATTATAAGCATCTATTACTTTCATGAGTAATCTAAACCATAATGTGAATATGATGAGGATGAGCATTTAATTTTACCCACCACTGTAATTCTAAGTCCTAGAACAGTGCCTGCCATTTAGCAGGCACCCAAATATATGTTGATTAAATAAATGATGAATGATTTATAAACAAGTTAAAATCATTGAAAAGAATATATAAAAAAATCCAATTTCTCACCATTAATCTACAACTCCTTTGTGATAGGGACCGTGTTATATTTGTTATTGAATCCCCAGCATTTGGCACAGTGCCTGCCTATATTAGGTACTGGATAAATACTTTGGGAATTTATATATATATATATATATACACAGACAATTTAAGCTAGATATGTTGAGCATGAAGTAATGATTTGAAGCAGGGCTACCACGCAATTAAAACAGAATATTAAGAAAAATTGGTTATATAGTAATCTGCTGAAAACTGAAGAGGAGAGAAGGAAGTTGGGAAACCCAGACAAGCCACCAATTCAATTACTATTGCAGAGGATTTAGTAATAATGCAAGTGAGTTTATGTGAGGGTCTTGACCAAGACTTTGACAGTGGGAATGAAATGTGGGGACTCTGCATTTAACATTTCAAAACACAATATTTCACTTTTCATAAAAGTCACTATTCCACTTTATCCTCCCAAACGCAGTGAGGACAAAGTAAGGTGTCAAAATTGAGGCTTCAAAAAGTTCAAATGAGCCACCTTAGGTAACCCAGCTGCTTAGTACCAGAATTGGAGTAGAATTCAGTAGTTTCACTTCTAGTGCTCAGTTTTCACTAGACTCTGCCAATGCCTTGTAAAGAAAACTTCTCCTTTCTCTTTCTGCTCCCTCACCTTATATTATGACATGTTGTTGTTGTTATGTGCTGTCGAGTCGGACCCGACTCATAGCGACCCCTCCTTGGGTTTCCGAGGCAGTATCACTACGGAAGTAGATTGCCCCATCTTCCTTCCAAGGAGTGGCTGGTAGGTTTGAACCACCAGCCTTCTGGTTAGCAGTCAAGTGCCTTAGCCACTATGCTACCAGAGCTCCCTATAATGACATAGGGAGAAATTAATCAAGTAGACTTATGAACTTACAGTTTGCAAGGAAAATGGTGAGAAATACTGTTTTAAAAGTGTATGAAATCCATCAAAGAATGTGACAACCACAGTTCTAAATAATTAATAATATTAATATAATATTAATATGTGAATTGGAGTTGGATCACTACCAAGAAATATATTTGTGAGGCCAG